GCCAGCCCACCCTGTCGGACCGGGGCGCGCCGCGGGAGAGCGAGGTCCTCGCCGCCGTTCCGCCGTCTGGCGTCGGCCGCGTCGACAGCGGGCCCGCCTGTCCCTCGGCTACCCGGGCCGGAGCCCGAAAGGCAAGCACCATGAGCGGCGGCGAAGTGGTCTGCTCGGGATGGCTTCGCAAGTCCCCCCCGGAGAAAAAGTTGAAGCGTTATGTAAGTAGAGCTTCGGCCGCGGCTCCAGGGGCTCCGCGGGCCTCGGCGCCGACCCCTCTCCCCTGCCGGCTCGCCCGAGGCTGCAGCTGGCCGCGCGCGGGGCTGCCTAGCCCCCCCATCCCGTTCCCCTCGGCCCCTTTGGGACCAAGTCTGTACCCTCACGCCCTGGCTTCCACTTCGCCCGGTAACTTTTTTCCTTCGGATTCCAGACGCCTGCTTGGCGGGCCTCATCGACCCAGGAAAGGGCCCGGGGTTTCCAGCTAAACGCGCGCTGAATTTTATTCTTTCTTTCAGTAGGGGTGGGGAGGAGAGCATTGTCCTTCCCTGGTGTTTGCATCTAATCGTTTTGGGGCTCCTGTTACTAAACGGCCCCGACTGGGAAAGCCGCTGAGGTTGTGTAAGTCACCGGCTCTCTGGCTTTCTCTCGGGTTACGGGAAGAGGGCTGTGGACCTGGGAAGTTGGCAATAGACACAAGTATCTCAAGTCGGCAAAAAGAGCAAGAATGAGAAGTTATATTACGCGCCCTACCGTTTGCTTATTAGCAGGGTTCACATTTTCGCGGTTTTGAATCCAGCGACATTGGAGTTTGGCCCGAGCGCCCTGGCAGTTTGCTGCGAGAGGAGGGCGCTGGGGGGAGCCTAGTGGCTGGTGTTTGGGCGCCTAGGACACGCTGTCAAGCCCCGCAGGAGGGGACAGCTGAGACTCGTGAGGATTTCTGTGGTCTTTTCCCAGGCCACCGGAGTTGCTTAAATGGTATTGGTGTAATTGGTACAAGATGCCGATTATGTGTTAAACCGTTTTAGCTGTTAGGAAAAATATTCCTTGAAAGAAATTAGCCTTACTTTGGTGGAAATCTGTGCCTTCTTCAGGGGTCTGGGATCTTATCTGCTTCTCCCTCATTGTTTCTTTGGTCGTTGACCCCCTGCAAAGGAAAGAAAGGACACTTTTGTCCTGGCATATTGAGCAGCTTTTTTCTAGTAAGATATATTTCAAAAGTAAAATTTATGTCCCCTTAAATGTAAATTTACTACCACAGTGCCAACACTTCTAAAGGAACCAGTTTCTTGAAGGATATCTCCATCCAGTATCAGAATCAAGTTAATCCTTTTGGCCACTGCTTGCTTGCACAAAACGGAGTGAAGTGCAATACTTAGCTTTACTGACAACTGACCAGTGAGTTTATTACTCTGCCAGAATTTGTTATAGACAAGTAATTCTCATGTAAGGACTTGATTCCACAAATCCTAAGAAAATTCTCCAGATATTTTGAATCCTTCTAAATTTTGTCTCTCCGCTTATCACAGTTTGCCTTAATATCCTGGTAGGGATGCTAACTTTATTCCAAAAATTTGGGAGAAGCAGTGGTTTGTTGTTTTTTCTAGCTCTTAAAAAGAAGTATGTATATGTGCAAGAAGAGAAAGCAGAGAGAGAAAGAGATGTATTTGTTTTGAGAAGGCACATTTAGGAAATACCTAAACTGAAGTGATTGAGTTCTTGGGGGAACTAAAGAACCATACATTTGTTGAAATTGGTAGTGATAATAGAGGTTTAGTGCATTCTTTTACATGGTTGATCTCTGGCTGCACACTGGACTAGGCACCACAAGATTAGGAAACATAGTAGGAAAAAAGCCCTGTCTTTTGGGCTTGCATTTGAATAAACCAGTAAGAGAATCAGCCAAAATGATTATGTCTTAACAAGGACCAAAAAAGAGTAAAGTCCAAATTTTTTAAAAGTTAATATTTCATTTGATCTTCCCAACAGTTTCATGAGGTAGCTTTTTCTCTGTTTTACAGATAAGAAAACAGTCTACATGACTAGAACGTGCCAGAGGCAGAGTTTGAACCAGGATCTGCCTAACTGACTGGGCCATAAAAGGTTCATTCAGACTAGACCATTTTTAAAGGTCCTTTCAGATTATAATTGTCTAGGAGTCTCTATGAGTATCAATTCAAAATGCAAGGAAGAGGTGGGGTTGTGGAAACATAAGACCCTTCAAGTGGCTTTCAGAGTCTAAGGGAAGATGTGACAACTATTTGAAAAAGTGAGCTGACCATGCAGAGTGGTTTTTTACTATGTGCCCAAGCTGGGTGCTATGGTTTTTTTAAATAGATATTTTGAGGAACAAGCTCAGTGTAGTCTGAAGCCATGGAAATACTTTAGAGAGACATGGGCTCCCTAAATTGTGTTTTCAGCACAGGGAAGAATCTGCCTAACCAGCTGGAGGGAGGCTGAGTTTTTCTTGCCTGGCGGAATACTAGTGTTTTCTTTACACACTAGTGAAGTACATGGAGATGGCCCAGGAAGACAGTGGGCAGGGTGGCTGTCAGAATCGAGGGGTCCAAGAGGGGGACTAGGGTGTTACAAGTTAAAATGAAGTTTGTGTGTATTTTGGCAGTCAAGTTGGTTGCCCAGAAGATTTTGAAAGTCCTAGATTGTTGATCTTTTGGCTTTGATTGCTTTTGCTAAAGCAGCTTTGACCCTGAAAGATATAGGCATGTATTTATGCATTTCCTATGCTTGTTTTCTCTTCATGTAAAATCTTATTTTCTGGATAGAAGGAAATTTTGTTGGTCACCAAACAGGCAAAATGTTGCCTGATAATGGTTCTTTTTTTTTTTTATTCCTCACCCGAGGATATGTTTTACTGATTTTTAGAGAGAAAGGAAGGGAGAAAAAGAGAGAAACATTGATTGATTGCCTCCCATACATGCCCCAACCTGGGATCAAACCCCCAACCTCGGTATGTGCCCTGACTGGGATTTGAACCCGAAACCTTTTGGTGTCCAGGATGATGCTCCAACCAATTGAGCCACCCAGCAAGGGCTTGATAGTGGTTTTCAATGAATGGGTTTGCTGTGAAAAGAAAGATACTTGGATGCATGGTACTATAATTGTTAAATGAGACTTCAGGGAGTTTGAGCATTGATTCTGTTGGGAAACATTTGGCCCCTGGGACTTTGACAGTTGTCTCTGTTTATAGTATTTATAGGGTAGTCTCAACATTGATTAAGATGATCATAAAGGGCTTTTAAGTGACAAAAGATTGTTTTAGTTTTATCTTTAAAGTCATCTCAAGTTATGGCCCCAATGCATTCCATTTACAACTCCATTTTATGTTCACTGTTGACACTCAACTTAAGCAGCATTGTTTTTGCATAGTGGTGTGTACATCTGATAAGGAAACTTTTTTTGAATTTCCTAAACTGAGTGAGCATAAAAGAAAGTGAGGGAAAGCCTGGAGCAGTAGCAGATTCCCTAGCCTTTTTGTCTCTTTGTAACTTTTTCTGTCTTTATTTGCAAAAGGGTAAGAACCTCTTGTATGTATTTCATTCTCTGAATTTCTTAAAGTCTACTTAAAATGGAGGTGAGATTTTACATGCTTTCTCTCAGTTTTGCTGCTGCTGTGTTGTTTTTGCCCTGTGTTCTATATTAAACAGCTGCTTTTTTACTTTTAAGGACCCGAATGGAATCATATACAGATCTCCACCACTAAGGGATACAGAAAACAAGTAAACTCTTGGTAGTATGCACTCAACAGACATGCTCAGATTTTTAAAGAGTTATTTAAAGACAAATCAGCCATTTGAAATAAGGGTGAAATTTTCATCAGGACTGGAGAAATTTTAGCTGAGATAAAATGTAAGTCTGGAAACAAAGGATTGATTCACCAGCTGGCTATCACCATATCTCTGCAGGAGGAGCTTCCCTCTGGCTTGCCTCAAGCCTGGACACTAAGTTTGGGCTCCTTCATGGCCCTGCTGTCAGCATTGGGCAGGTGTGCAATCTCAGCAGGAGAACCTGCTTCTGAGGCCAGGGCAAGGTGGCCTGTTAGCTGCCAGCCAGCCCAGGGGGCAAGAACTCAGCCAGTTCTTGAGTATATAATCTGCACCCAGCTTGGAATCTGCTGCCCTTCAGCTGTCATTTAGGAGGATGGTTCTTGTCTGGTCTTCCAGAACACAACCCCGGTTCTGGAAATGGGCCTAGAAACAGAAATAGCCTCTTCCTCTGGGTGGGCACCTGACATCTTACGTAGAGAGGGACCCAGGCAGCCAGAGTAGCAACGTCTCCTTGGCTCAAGGGCAACCTGGAATCTGCACTAAGCATTGAGTCTCTGCTCAGTAGTGTCACTACAACAAAGATGTCTGGAAGCTCTTCCTGACCCTTTTGGCAATTACCAGAAGCAATCAATGGATTCTGAAGCTTTTGCTTACAGTGACTGAATAGTAGAATTATTCTGTTGAAGAAAAATTTTCTCTCTCGCAATCCTTATGTTAGTAAACATTCCTTTTTTTTTTCTTCTAACCTTTTCCAGGGTGGAGGGAACATTGTTTCTATTAACAAAGATCATCACCTACCAGTTAAGTTAAGCCTTTATGATAGTTAATGATAGCTAATTCTTCCATTGTTCCTGGGCTTAAAGCTCTCCATGTAAAACTTGCTGAGCTCCTAAATCTGCTTGTCTTTTGGGATTCAAAATTACCATTAGGAAGGTGTATCAGTTTGGAAGGTAGTTTTAGAGTTCTGCTGTTCTACAAATCTGTTTTTAAATTTTTGTAAAATGATCATCTTTGAATAAAATACAATACGGCGAGAGACTTGGATAATCTGGTTGACAGCTGAATTGGTTATTTCAGAGTATTTTGCTGTTGTAAGTCTTTTTTAAAACTCTGAAAAATATAATGACAAAGCACTTTTAAGACTAATAAAATTCCATTTTTTGGAGTCAACATAAAAAATGTAGATAAGTTCTTGATAATTTGCAGACTGAGGAATTTTAAGAGGTGATAGATTCAAAACATTAAGTGCCAGCACCCTAATACAGGTACTAATACAGGAGAAAGGAGGTAGCAGGTAGACTGTGCATGACTTTATTTTTTTAACGGTTGTGGGTAAATTGTGCTACTGTGTAAGGAACCCGGGACTGAATTTCAGGACCCAGGATTTGACTTGACTTTGCTACTACCCATGTGACCTTTTGACCCGTCTGATCCTCAGT